TGTTTCTCCCTCTGCCTGTGCCTCTGCCTCTCTCTCTCTCTCTCTCTCTCTGTCTCTTATGAATAAATAAATAAAATCTTTAAAAAAAAAACTACTCTCTGGAGGCTATAATGCTCAAGTTTCAGAATCTTCTAAAGATTAGCAAAGAATTAGACAGTTCTTTTGAAAAGAACCTTGTTTTTTTTTTTATCTTTTTGATAATTTCAAATGAGGATTTTTGCAACCCAATTTTAATGTATATTACACTGTGATGACCAAGGCAAAGAAACATCATTAAGAGGAATATGAATGTGTTGGGTCTTTAAATGGGCCAAATGGGTTGGTTAGCGACTTTCTTCATAAGCTAAATGAATATTGATCTGTTTCTTCTGAATTACTAATTATGAGTCACAAAATGGTGATAAGAGTATCCAGAGAATCAGTAATGAGGCCCCAGAAAAATCATACATTCATTTCTGAGAAGAGAGGAGAAGCAGGGCCATGTCATATGGTGTACGGAAATTGGGCTCAAAAAAAAAAAAAAAAAGGGAATTGGGCTCCAGAGCCAGACTAGGTTTGACTCCTGACTTCACCACTTGAGAATTGTATGAACTGGGCAAGTTGCTTCTTTCTCTGGGCCTCAGCTTCCTCACTGAAAAGTGTGATTATTAATAGTCTTGGTTATTAATGGAACCTATCTCATAGAGCCATTGTGAGAAACAAGGAAGTGATGCATGTAAAGCATTTTCCATAGAGCCAGACATAGCAAGCATGCATGTAATAAATATTATAATCTTTAGGTAAAGATAAAGGACAATTCTGTTCCCAGTAACAACTTTGGGCCCAATTTCCTGCTTTAAAGCAACTTCACCACTACATTTGGTTCCTCAAGGGATGAGGTAAAGAAACATTCTAAGGAATCTACAGAAAAGTTAACTCTTTAATTCTTACTCTCCCTGGGTATATTTAAAAATTTTAAGTGATTGGTTAGGTTTTTGTAGTGGATAGTCTACAAAAAGTGCCATACTTATATACAACGTGTCAATTTGGAACACACATGTTTCTCACCGCTAAGTCTTACTGTTCTCCAAAAAATAAATCATTCTAAACTTTAAGTGTTAGTTATTTAAAAATTCCCCCTCCGCAGAAATTAATAAATAAATAAATAAATAAATAAATAAATAAATAAATAAAAAATTGCTGATGGAAAGAGAAGTTCTCTAGTATTTGCAAAAGGATTTTACAGATCCCAAGGTAGGATTGCAGAAAACACACACATACCACACATGTGTTATTTAGTATTAGACTAGTTTAGGATCACTCAATTTCAAAAAGAACCAGTCCTATAAATCCCCACAGGTGCTCTGTCTCTGCCAATGACACTCTTCCCCCAAATGGATGTTAGGATCTCAAGCCCTTCCCCCACCACTGCCATTCTCATCCCTGCTATATAATTATCTTGCTGTAGGATCCAATGAGGTTATTATATTCCTTTGCTACTTTCCTATTAGAGCCTTCTCTTGACATGCCAGGAAAAATGCCCAGTAGTCTAGGCCACCATCCAGGCCCTACCTTCTGCCCCACCAAGATCCAAGAGTTTCAGTGCTAAAGGAGTTGATGCTTAAAACCCAGAGATGCTCAAGTTCTGGGAACCAAAGATTGAGGCCTAGGACAACCATTAACATAATTCTAGTGATATTTTAAATTAATAGATTTTTGTTAGTTTGTCTGGCCCACAGATGCTAATAACAGTGCCTCTTTTGGGGGTGCCTGGCTGGCTCTGTCTCTAGAGGATGTGACTCTCAATCTCAGGGTCATGAGTTCAAGCCCCATATTGGGCATGGAGTCTACTTAAAAAACAAAACAAAACAGTGCTTCTTCTGGAAAATGTATTCTCAATTCTGCAAAATCAACTTCTAAATAAACTTTATAACCACTTAAAATTGAGTACCTTTCCTCAAAAAGTTAAACAGAGAATTAATACATGACTCAGCAATTCCAATCCTAGGTATATACACCAAAGAATTGAAAAGAGGGATTGCAAGAAATGCTTGTACACAATGTTCATAGTAACCAGAAAGTGGAAACAAACCAAATGTCCACCAGTGGATGAATGAATAAACAAAATGTGGTTATATACATACAATGACATATTATTTAATCATAGAAAGGAATGAAGTAGTGGCACATGTTACAATATGTATGAGCCTTGAGAACATGATGTAAAGTGAAAGAAGCCAGACACAAAAGGACAACTACTGTTTGATTTCACTTATAAGAAATATTTAGAATAAAGCAAATTCCTAGAGACAGAAAGATTAGAGATTTCCAGGGGATTACAAGAGGAGCAAACAGGAAATTACAGTTTAATGAGTATAGACTTTCTGTTTAGGGTGATGAAAACCTCTGGAAACACTGTGAATGTACTAAATTCTACTGAATTTTATATATTTATACTTTATATTTTAAAATGGTTAATTTTGTAATATGTGATTTCAAGTCAATTTCAAGTCAATAAAGAAATCTGTATATAGTCCACATCTAGAAGTATATAAAAATTGAGATAGCAGATAAAGTAGTTTTGTTCTGTAAAGAACATATGGTGGGAAAAGAGGGCTGACTCAAAAAACTTGAGTTCAAGCCGTAACTCAGCCATTACTAATTAGGCTTTCTTAAATCAGTCATTTCCCTATCTGAGCCTGTTTCAGCATACAAGGAATATGGATACTATCTGCTCTGCTTAATTCTGAGGCTGAGATTCAGAAACTGCATAGAAAACTCTATTGTTTTCTATGGGAGAAAAGTACTAACTACTATAACAAATGGAAAGTGAGAAGCACTGGAACCCCAAAAAGGGCAGGATGAATATATGCTTTCTCTTTCTAACACCTTATCTCTTACTTCAGAAGCTAACTAGGCTTTGGGTAAATCTTGAGAATCAATTATTTGGTTTGGAGGAGGTTCAGTACAGTCCAGGGTAATTGCCGGAGCTTACCAAGTTGAGGAACTATTCAATTTTAGTCTGAATCTGCAGTAGCCGACCCAGCATAGTACAGATTCTGTCTTGTGTAGTAAAAAATATAAAGTTCCAAAGGGATTCTAGAATCAATCTGTAGTCCATGATTGTCTTTCAGATTATAAATGATCTATAGGTGGAATGGGGCTACTTCAAAGCTTCACCGGTAGGTAATATGAGAGATGGGAAGGAGAACTTGAGTCTGTTTTGGTTAGAATATTCAATAAATCAGGCTCCAAATATGAAAAAAGGGAAGGAAACCAAATTATTAGCCTCATCAAACTATTTAAAGGTAATAATTTAAAAATGTATAAAGTTTTAACTATCTAGTATTTACATTTTTAAATATAGTTAACATAACTAACATTTTTAAAATCCCTCAGAAACCAAAGGGAAAATACAAATAAGAAACAATATATTGGTTTATAGGATACTTGTTGAATCCATACAAATGTATAAGACTGAGCATATATGTAAGTTGTATATGTAAGTTGTTAGGGAAATTATAAACACGTTCTAGGTAATGTAGTAGAGTGGGAAGTTTCTGGTGACTTGAGTTCTAGTCTAAGGTCAGCCACTTGCTGACCTGTGTGACCTTGAACTTTCACCCTCTGTCTCCTTTGTACAATGAGAAGGTTTAGCACTAGTTCTCAAAAAACAAGTTAGTTTTTGGTGTTTTGTTGTTGTTGTTGTTGTTGTTGTTTGGGGGTTTTTTGCTTAAATTTTAAGCAACAGAACCTTTTCTTTAGATGAACTCTTCCAAGAAGCCTGCTATGTCAAATAAATAAACTCAGAGCTGCTCTGTTTGAAGTAAGGTAGGAAATCCAGACGCCTGTCTGCTTTCTGCTCTCTTATTGTCCTGGCAGCCCCAAGGTGCCTCTGAAGAAGCTTTAGGGCTCCACAGAACACAGTTTGAAACCCACTGGGCCAGATGAAGCCAAAGGTCTCTTTCTGTTCTAATATGTTTTGATTTCACTAATGTAGGCATTTTCAAATGTCCCATATAAATGCTTATGTTTAGAGGAGTTTTTTAATTGTAAATATATTTTTGGCAAATAGAGAAGAAAAATTTCAGGAAAGCTTTCCAATTCTAATCTACTACTACTAATTTACTAATCCACTTTACTATTTTACTAATCTACTTTAATATGGCCAATAAAATTAAAGCAATTAATTAGATTAAAGGAATGAATTTTCCACTATTACATTTGACATATTTTTCTTAATATAATTTATTTTTAATTTGATATGAGCAATTTGGATATATTTCTTTTTACCCCTTTTGTAGGAGCAGCATTTTAAATAAATATATATATTCCTTTAAAATATACACATATACCTTTTTTCCAGTAGCTCACTGTGCCCTTAGATCTATATAATCACTACAGGCAATCAGCAGTAAATGCCAATCTACCCTCTGGTTAGGAGCTAACTTGCTGCTCTAACCCATTTTTATAAACCTTCCTATATACCTTAATCCTTTCAAATGCAACTGTGACACAAACTATTACAGACTTTTAAAAACCTGTTCTCTTGGAAAAAAAAAAAAAAAACTGTGGAGCATCAGTAACCAGATAGTATTCTCAAATTTCAGTGATCTAGTCCATGGAGCCGTCCCCTATGCATAGTGCTCTGTTTCATGCAGTACATGGCTTTAGCTGGCCAAATCTTTTTTTTTCCCAATGAATCAGTAGAACAGTGAAGATCTTACTTTTTTTTTAAGCAGTGGCATATCAATGAGGCACAGATGTGTATTCCAACTCTGCATGGATGAGCACACTGTTCAATAGTGCTGGCTCACACGGTATCAGGGCGAGTTATCACTTCCCATGAAGGCACTCTTATCACCAGGGCCCAGAGAGGTGGCTGCAAATCGCAGCCTTTTTATTTTCAAGGCAGTTCTGCTGAACATTCAGGCTTCAAAGATTCACACTTCCAAAACTCTATAAGAGTTTGTGAACGCTCAATTTGCCAAAACTGTTTACAGTGTAATTGGGCACCGTACCTGTGTCCATGAGATAGCGAAGGCGCTTCTCCACCAGCGCGGCACGGGTGTCAATTTGCTTTTGCTCATTCTCTAGTGCTGCCAATTCTCCTACAACATACTGACTGGTGTCTTTGAACCCTTTCTGTTAACGAGAACAAACAGGAAGAAAAAAAAAATCACTTGTAAGTTGCATTTTTCCTTTCTACAAACACTTAGTAAAGCACTTACCTAGAGAACCAAATACACTGTAAGTATCACCCTTAGTATGAAAAAGCACCTCCCTGTAATTTGAAAAATTTTCATATATGTTATGTATAGCAAAACTTTTGTAACTAGAGAAAATTTTAGCTGTTGAGTATTATAATTCAACAACCAGATTTGCCATATTTAAAAATTTAGCACGGAGAAAAAAAAAACCCTTAGAGTTAAATCAGAGTTATTTAAGCATGGACAAGGATAGAAGATAATTTTCCCCTTGGTGATTGTCAAAACAAACACCAATGACACCTTTCATTTAAACGTGCAATATAAAAAAATGGAGCTTTACTAAGGAAATGATCCTTAAAGTATTCTGGAGAAAAAAATAAAACCCAAACAGATTTGTGCTTACAAAAATAAAAATTAAAGAGACACATTTCTTGATTTTATAGTAAATATACTATTTAAAATACTTTTTTAAAATGGTAAAAGAGAAGTTTCTAATATCTCCAGTTTTCCTTCCAGCTGGCTCCTGTACTTTAACATGTCATTCTGTTGATGTATCACTAATTATTGAAGCTGCGAATTCTAACTTGACAGGTGGTTTCAAACCTTGCTACATAGGATCTACTGCAACTAGTACACTGATTTGGTTAATTTTCCATCTAACCAAATTTGAATTTCAATTTGAAATCTTCCTTTTTACAATCATTCATGTTTAAAAAATGATCCTAAGAAGTTTTATCTGATGTAGCAGTTCTATTATAATGTGCCAGTATAGTCTTAATTTTTATTTTAATATTACACATTTAAATCATGATGGGATGGGGTTATTATTTATGGAATAGTTACAGATAGATTACTTATAGCTCCCTTTGGAATACCTGTTTACCTTGTGACATTTCTAGAGCTAAGTTTCCTAAGTAGCTAAGGAATACTAAAGAAATGCTTGAGTAATTACCCTCACCACCACCACTACTAAACATCAGCGGTTATAACATTATATATTCAGAAAAACAGATGTGAACAATCTCTTCTATCAAATCCCTTCCCTACCTAGAAGCATATTAATCCCTAAGAAGCCATAACGAATTATCTTTTGGTACTCCTTAAACAAGAGACAACAATCAAGAATTATGAGCATATTTTAGAATTTTCATGATCAATAAACATATCTAATCATACATATAACTTACATATCTTTGGAACTAATAAAGTCACCTGTGAACTCAATTTATATCAGCTTACTCTTGAATTGATTATGGTAGTTGACAAACTTAAAGTCGAAATATTTTACAAAATCAAAAAACTGATAGTTTCTCAGGATAGCATATTAAATAAGTTACTCTATTTCTTAAAGATTCATAAAAATGGATATTCTATCTCAATATGAAGTATAACCAAAAAAATACAACAGAATATACACTAATGGTAACTTTTAAATCTGGATTAAACTTGTCAATACTTTTTGTACCTATCTGCCATACAACAGACCATTTTCAAAAAGGAAAAAGGACTTTTCTCATTCCCATCCAAGGGGACAAAACAAACATAGCAGTCTGCAAAGACAGCATGAGGAAGAAAGATGTAAGAAAGCAGAAATGGTAAGCAACACATAAACTTCATTGTTTTTATGGACTGACTGTTAAAAATAAAGTCAAAGTTTATAACCAGATTTCTTTAGTGTGAGTATATAGTATACTCTAGTATTCTGCAACTCACAAATTATACCAAATATTCCACCACAATAGGTCAGGCTTTCTATGTACGAAAGCCTGTCTTAGTACAACTTAAAAATAAGAAGTTTGTAGGACCCTACACTTTGTTGTTTGTAATTCTGAGTACACTTATAAGGATTTAAAAATCCAACAAAGACTATTTTAATAGTAAAAACAGTGAAAATATTTACACAAACTATAGATAATAAAAAAGTAGCAATGCTACAGAGAGCTATGCTTCCAGACAAAAATTCAAGTTAAAACTTGTTCTTCCTGCTTCTGTCCCGCAGCTGTCCATCAAAAGCAGCTTTCTCCCTGCGGTCTATCAAATATTTCCCTCACAAATCAATTTTACACATGATCAGCCCATACCCCTACTGAGCTGAACCTCCCCGTTAATTAAGTGAAGAAATTACCATATATATTATATTAATGCAAACATCATTCAGCTAGTAATTCACGGCTGATCTGGATAATGGAAAGGTTGAACACCCATTAACCCAAGCCAACAAAATGGGTTGGCTGAGAAATTCTAGCAGGTCTCATGTGACTTTTCCCTCTAACTGCAGCTCTGCGGTATCTGCTATTGTAATAATTAAAATCCTCCTGGTAGATCAATACTGGAATCTCTTTATGGGAAGTGCCCTGATGGAAATGTCTCAAGGAAGCTGGGGCTGTGGAACTCTGAAAAATTCATTTTTTTTATCTGACAATTATCACCACACTGCAGACTAATTCAACAGTGCACCCCTCTCACTCTGCTTTGAATGCACTGGAGATTGACATCTTAAAAAACCTAACATCTCATTTTAACAAATAAAGGCACTATTTCCACATACAGTTTGGAATTATCAGCAATCATGAAACCACACAAAAAATTAATATACATTAAGCACTTCATCTTCTGATGGCTTCCTCTGAGTTTCAGTTATCGCTGCCTTCTCCTCATTTCCTTTCTTTGTATCTTCCTGTATTGATCTCTGCCTTTTCATCTCTTAAAAAAAAGGGAAAGACATGTAAAATTATTATAAAGCTTGATATTTGTGTATTGAAATGTGGATTTACATTATCAGCATATATATATATATATATATATATATATATATATATATATATATATATACTATTAAATCATAAGATGGGAAAACATTTTTTAAAAGTGTTTCTACCTGGTCTATTCTCAACATATTGACTGAAAGACTGAAGTTGAGTTTTTCTGACTGTAGAATCCTTGCTGAACACAACAGGATTTCTAAATCGTTCTGTTGCTTTTTGTAATCGCTCAGTCTGGAGATCTTCTGTGCCATTCTAAAAGTAAAACAAATGTAGTAAGACAGTCCTGATCGCATAAACATGAAATTACATAATAGTAAAACAACTTCTACTGTTTTAAGATAATGCCGAGTCAGAAACTTTTTGGAAGGAAAAGGATTTTAAAGAGCTCTACATAGCTCAACTACGGATTCTGTTGCCTGTAACCAAACTTTGGGAGACATGGTTTAGACAGAGGCTCACTCTTGATAACTTTGATTCATTAGACACTGTAAACCCCTGTGTCTTCTCCCAATGATATCTATCATTTAAAAGCCATGTTGCTTCTGTTTATTCCCCACAATTCTGCCCCATGGGTTTGTACGGTCCCATAGACTTGTATGACAAGAAGAACTAGTTTCTAATTTTATGCCCATTGAGATAAACCACTAATGCTGGATGAAGGCTAAAAGGTAGGATTATAATACTACCCCACTGAACTGCATTTCATCAGCTCTAACTTTCCAAAGCCAGATTTGTAAGTAAGCCCTTTACAGCTAAGGAAACTACAATTATCTTTTCCAGAGCTTCCTATGTTAATACTGGTAACAAATTCAAATGGTTCTATCAACAAGAAATATCCCAGAAGACTGAACTACTGCAGTGTGTGGAAGCTGCAGATACCGAGGTGCTGTGTACCAAACAAATATTTCATTTTATACCTAATCTTTTATTATTTTTATTAAGTGTTTTGAAAGTAAATAGGGAAAGGCTAAGATGCATGACTAATAGCTAAGCCTGCTGAATGCTGAAACTGGTTATCAAAAGCTACCAAGACTTTGCCCTTCCTCTGCATTGAGACAATCAGTAATGAGGGAGTCCTCCAATGGCCTATTCTCTAGCCTCAAGGAGGCCTGGGATACAGAATCCTCAAGGGAAGGTAACAGTTTATCCTTTTCCACAAACACAGAATGCCTCATTTATAAACGTGTAAACTGCATTTTATTAAAAAAAAATAAAACCCCAAATCAATGCGGAAAGCTTCAAGAGAACAGATGGACTCTATATGTTCTTTATAAGCACCATTTAAAAAAATCTTAACTAAAAAGATTCATACAAAGACAAGCTGTTTAAAGCACACCTTTTGTTGAAATAACTTTAAAGATTGCCACATACAAGCCTTTTTAGAAAGAAAAACCAATTTCATCTATTTAGACAATTAAACCTGAAGAATGAAAATACCTCCATTTCATTTTTCAAAGTTATATGTCTTTGTTATTAAGATCATGCTTATAGTATGCTAGCTATGTAGCTAGGATAGAAACAGTTTGGGCTTTTATTTATTTATTTGTTTGTTTAAGAAAAGTGTGCATTCTTACTGTTATCATTATAATTGCCCAAGAGTTTAAAACTCAAGTCTTTACCAAAATAAACAAACACAGCTAAATTTTTTGAGGCCTGGCAACATGCTAAAATATCAGTGCGATTAGCCAGCAAATCCCATCTTAAGAAACGTTTTTACGACTAGGGACTTCTGCCACTTTACAAATGTATTCCTCTAAACCCACTAATTCAGTTAGCCTTTTCAATCCATTGTATTATTCTTAGGCCAGCGTCATTCTGCATTAAATCCACTGCAGAAAGCTAAATTGAACGCAAAAAATCAGACCTGATCCAGGCTTCTTTTTGTTCAAAGATAGAGACCAAAAGTCCTCTGGTGCTGCCACACACTTTCATCACCAATTTATAGAAACCAACAGTATAAGGGAAAAGCAATGAAAGTCATTGTTTTGGGACTTCAAAGCATCTCTGTGTCAGAGGAAGGAAATCCTTTCAGTCAGCAGGGCAGTCTCCATAGTCCGCAGGTGGGTGAAAAGTTACACAGGACTAGAAGTGCCCTAAAGCTACAGAACTATTAATGATACCATGTGAGGAAAAGGCATGGCTTGGTAGGGATAATATAAATAGTGTAAATAAAAATAATCTCTCATGTAGCATTTTGGCTAAAATCCTACACAAGGTAAGATTCAAATTGGCACAAAACACACGCAAGTACCTCTATATACAGTCACATACCATCTTCAGGTATTAATTAAGATTAATTCTAGTTCACCTAAACAGGCCAAAGGTTGAGGATGATAGAAAAAAATGCTGGAATTTTCTTAGCAATATTCTTCCTAGTAAAATAAGAGTACATTCTTGAGAATAGTTTCTACTTTCACCAACACATCAATTTATAGCAGTAGTTTCTCTGGAAAACAGCATATGAATACTGATTACCATACTGCCACTTAATTGATTAGCTAGTCAATAAAAAAATATATATCTTAATCTTAGGATTATAAAAGGAAGTTAGAATATGCAAATAGAGAGTCAAATATTTTAAACAAGTAAGATTTACCTTAATATCTTGTTCCGAGCTCTCAGTTATAGCTTTCTGTGCAGCACTGGAGAGTGAATTTGCCACCTGTGGCTGAGCTTCTAGGAGCTTCTTTAGCTTCAAGTCTACCAATTTAGTGTTTTGTTCTGTTAAATACACAAACACCATGAATGACTGAGATACATTAAGATGAGCAGGCTATCAATTTAGGGGACATCATAAAAATATTACTATATTTTAAAGAAAAACATTAATTAGGCTTATGAAATAACATTATCAGACCTGACCTATGTAGAACTCTTCATATATATATATATAAACTGTAATACACACTATATAACTATAGTATAACTTAATCTTTAGGTATGTTAACTATATTCTTTTTTTTAACACTTTTTTAAAAAAAGTATTTATTTTTTATTTTTGAGAGAGAGCTCATGTCTCCAAGCAGACTCCCCACTGAGCACAGAGACTGACACGGGGCTTGATCTCATGATCCTGAGATCATGACCCAGGCCAAAATCAAGAGTCAGACACTTAACTGAGTGAATCACTCAGGTGTCCCTATATCATTTTTTATTGAGATATAATTGATATGTACCATTGTGTAAGTTTAACGTGTACAATGTGCTGCTTTGATACATTTATATAATGCAATACTATTACCATCACAGCATTAGTTAACATCTTTATTACATTTACCATTTCTTTTTTGTGGTAGGAACAATTAAGATCTAGTCTCTTAGTATATTCTTTGTATATATACACACATATACATAAACATATATATTTTCCCCCTTATCAGTTCCCTTAAAGAATATAGTCAATATAACTTAAGACCATTCAGTTACACTTTATATTTAATAGTGGCTATGCTTACCTGAAAACCTAGGCCTGTATTAGATGTATGCATTTATATAAGTAACTGCATGGGTTATACATAATAAAACGAGCTATCTACAAAGTAGATATTTAAAAGAGGCAATACATTTTATTAAGTTATATTATTTGAGTTTCAATTCTTCTGGCATATTAAATTTATACACATAATACCATATTAAAACAAGTCCTTAACATTATCTCAGTCATGTACACATCGTTAGAATCCAATGTTTTAAGTATTAATGGATATGGATAGAAATTTAAAATAAATAAAATACAGCTATAACTTTTAAAATAATTTCAAATTATTTTCAGCAAGTATGTTAATCTTTAATAATAAAATAATTCAGAAACAAATGGAAACAATTCCATTTAAACAAATTCACTCAAAGCAACTCTTTAATAAAATGGTTGTAAAAGACATGCCAACCATTTGGTGAATGATATTTTTCATAAAGATTAATAAGTTTTCTAATTATAAGACTCTTAATAAATGCTATTATCATTACTTTCATGCAAATTGGTCAGTTTATATTGCTAGGCTTCTCTTTTAAACAATATCTGATGAACTATGGTCAAATCAAGATAAAGATTAAACAATTTATTATTAAAACATTATGACTTTTATATACATATTAAAAAAAGAATTTTGGGGAAAATAAAGAAAGGCTAAAAATCATAATACATGTTATGTGCTTCCAGATTCCAGTTCACATTCCTATTATTGCTATGAAATAAACCTATACTCTGGATTGCAAAGTCTATCCTATGCACATGCCAATACTTATCAGCATGCTTGAGAGTTACAAACAATATATTAGTTAACTCCAAAAACAGGAAGGCTGAGATGTGTTTTCTTGTTTGGCATACATGAAGTAGGAGAGTTTTTTAAAAAAGACGAGAGTTAATAAGCCTGTTAGTCCTAACATTTTTTTTTTAAGTGAACATAAGTATTGAGAGTGGCTCTTTCATTTTCAAAAAAATTTGTTTTATTTATTTTTAAGTCATCACTACACCCAATGTAGGGCTCAAGCTCATGACCCAGAGATTAAGAGTCGCATGCTCCACTGACTGAACCAGGCAGGTGCCTCTAGCCTTAATATTAACCAACCTTTAAAGTATTCCACCAACTTGCTACAACTAAAACCAGAAAACGTCCCTCACCTTACCTAAAAAATGGCTAATTTTTCTGTCTTTGTAATCTACTGCAAAATAAGAAAATATGTACCATTTACTATCAGTGATTTTATATGCCCATAAATTGCATCTTAAGGCTTTAATTCTGTACTTATGGATACCCTCAGCAGTAAAGGGGGGTTAGTGGTTTCTGACAGAGCTTTCGGTGGTGGTTGTGGTGAACAGGTGGATAAGTAAAAACAAAAATCTCTTTCAAAAAGAAAAAAACAAACTTACCAAGTTCTACTATATTTTAAATAGAAGAAAAAAGTAGTCCTAATTTTGGGTTAAACATTTAAAAATGTTCCTTAAATCCCAGCCTTCTCCTGGATTTGTATAATTATAAATACATGGACTTCTATTTAGTAAAAGTATAGTTTGACACTAGACCATGAAGGAGCCTACTAAGAAAGGGCATGGGTTTTCTTGGGTGCTCCTTAGTTTTTCTTGGGTGCTCCTCAGTCAGAAAGACTCTGGTTGATTGTTTCTTGGAGAAATAACAGCATGATTTCAAACAGAGGAAGAAGAAACAAAGCAGGTGAGCATTGAAGGGACATGCCAGGGTTGGGAAGAAGAATATCTACCTGTTCTCACTCCCTTTGGCTTTTTACAGAAAAAGATAAATATTAGGGACTTTGCTTCCTCATCTTTAAGTCTAGAGAGATGGTCAAACACTTTATATTCCTCTAAGAATTCAATTCAAAGAGCATTTATGGAACCTCTCATGTATACAAAGCTTTGGATTGCTATCTGATGTTGACTATAGAAGCAATGCATTAGAACACTCATCTAATAAACCATAGTATCTTTATATTTTACACAATCACTTAGTGATTATTTATTGACATAAGATATGAAATTAATTTAGTAGCAGTCCATATAAGTAGTTTCCAAAATGTCTTACTGTAATTACTTATTGAATGGTAGAAATTAATTTATTAGCATTATATAAATATTTAAAGTAAGCACAAAATTTACAAAATAATATTACAACTAAGACTATCAATTCTAAACCAAAATATGATCCATGGTTGACATTTACATCTCAAATATTCCATAGGTATTACATCTTTACCTTATGACATTAAAATATTCAGGCTGACATGGGAAACCAATTTTTGAATGCTTATAAATTATCTCATATACTATAAAATATAAAAATAAACTTTAGTATACAAAGTACAATTTATTATTCCAGTTTTATTGCTAATTTTAACATGAAATCTAAAACAAAATAACAAAATTGATGGAAAGTGGATTTAGCTAAATGATTTGTGAGGGTATAAGATGTAATAAAACTACACAAGAGTTTATCATTATTAATGAGATAATAATAAAAATATGATGATAAAATTTGCCATGCAGCAGGATGCAAAATATTTATAATTTGAAATTACCGGGAGTATCAAGGTCATTTTCTAAGTTAGTAAGTTCATCTCCACCTCCTACAACAAAGCCTTCAGGAATCTCCTCGTTAGTATCTATCTCAATATTATCATTTTCATCTGTAGGAACATGTAGCAATGATGTTAGTATATTATTTCTATTTTATATCATTTATCCAAAATACTAAAGTATAAAACTCAGTATTTTAATGATAGTTATTCAAATATGGTCTGACACAGATCAGCAAGAAATCAGTGTTAAGTCACTTTTCACTACTGGATTAACATTTATATTTTATATTCACATGTCAAAGATGAACTGTCACATCAAAGCAGATACAAAGGTTTTGACAATTTGCCACACACGGTCTCTGAATCACTGAGCTCATCAAGTCCCTATATTTTAAAATATAATGTGTAAGTAATCTCTAATAACAGCATACAAAAATAAAGTTGATTTGGCAATAAAGTCATTAAGTAATATTTCTAAATTTCACATTTTTAGCATTTATTAGATATAAATATATAAAGAAATAAATCACTGTTCATAAACTTGTAGTTATATTTAATCATTTGCATGAAGACGTGAATGCTTTTCTACTATCAATGACTATTATCATAAAAGTATTATGGATAAATTAAGAGACAAAAATTGAGAATGAAATAGTACCTTATGTAAAAGAAAGTTCAGAAATAATTAGAACAGCCATCTTGGAAGACTGAAAACTGGGAAAAACTGTTACTATTCAAAACTAAATACATGGAAATGATGAAGCTGTACACTATTTTTTATTTTTTTTATTTTATTTTATTTTTTAAAAAGATTTTATTTATTTATTTTTTTCATGAGAGAGAGAGAGAGAGAGAGAGAGAGAGAGAGGCAGAGACTCAGGCAGAGGGAGAAGCAGGCTCCATGCAGGGAGCCCGATGTGGAACCCGATTCAGGGACTCCAGGATCACGCCCCAAGCCCATGGCAGGTGCTAAACCGCTGAGCCACCCAGGGAACCCCTATATGCTATTTTTTAATACACTTAGTAAAATGTTTTAGGTCACAATTAATTAATGGAGTTTTTTATATTAAAGTTTTCTATTATATACTCTTGTCCTTTCTAAATCCAAGTGATAATATTGGTTAAGTAATTTTGAATTTTGTGCATTTGAAAAAGCACAGCAATAATTGGATTTGCATGTCAGAGGTTTAGCTTTAAATTCTGTTATTGACAGGTACTGTATCTTTTAGAGAAATACCTCTCTAGCCCTGAGAATTGAAGAATATCCCTACTACTCTACAATTAACATTTTATTGGGCATCTTTTATTAATGATGAGGTATTCTAGCATTATTGCAATTGAAAAATTCAAAGTTCTATAGTTTTGGCTTAATCCTTCAGTATCTGTCCTTTTCCCTGCATACCTTTGTGTTTGATTTGGGGCCTCCCCAAGTAAATACTTACCATGATCATTAATATTAATACTAACAGCTTACATTTATTGAAGATGTTCCAATGTAGATGGCTTACTACATAAGCCATTTAGAAGAACATGACAAAGAAAAAAAAGTTTTAGAAATGATCCTGGGGAGAAACATTGCTGAATGCTTTCAAATTGCTAAGGCATCATACTTGGCTCCAGTATTTAAGTACAATCAGTTGAGAAATATTTTCTAATCAGTTGTGCTTAGCACAACTAACTTCATAAATGTTACATCTTCATTAGCCTCAAAAATTCTCTAAATAGTTTTGTAGTAAACAAAAATGAATGGACATGTATTTCCTGAGTACTAAATGTTTAGAATACTTCTCATATTAATCTGCCAGAAATAGTTTACTATCAATAGTTTTTAGAATGTAATACATTGTTGCTGTCAACCAGCCTGTATTGATTATTAGTGACCATAATTAACCTAGGGTAAAAGCATAAAATTCAACATTCACTTTGTACATTGTATCTACAATTTATAAAACATTGCTAGATGTTAAGGAGATACCAAATTGTATAAAACACTTATTCTGCCTTAAAGTTATACATTCAGGTAACTATGTAGGACAGATAAGTATTTGGGGGTAAAAGTAAGTTACAGAGCAAATTCAAAAGATGAAAAGATTACTCTTTGCCAATAGTACCAGGAATTGTTCTTTTGGAGCACAAACCTTCAAAGCATACTAGAAGGAAAATAATGGGAGGTAAGTCTTCAAAGAAAGAACTGCAGAGAGGCCTAAAAGGCAGAATGGGAAGTTTAAATTCTACTTGATAGGAATGGAGAGATACTGATACTCTAACATGATCAGCACTGTGTTCTTTAAGAGCAGCCTATATGAAAGAGTAGTCTTTATAAGCAATTTTCTATCCAAGTGTCTTATTGTAATCAGTTGTGAAATACGTATAAAATAATTAGTAGTAATATAAGCACTGAACTTTATGACTTTTAAAATTATAGTGGCTTCAATATTATTCCTAAAATATCATTCTTGCTTACTTACATTCTGATATGCCTTCTTATGTGACAGAAAAAGTGGTCTAGGATCGCCCACGTGAGTGTAATATGCATGTGACATCATCCTTCATGTGAGTGAGATTGCTGACCTAGATGTCAGACTGGAGAACTCAAAGGCTGCAGGCAGTAAATCCAGGTTGGAGACTGTTATAACCTCCAGGCAAGCAGCACAGAGAGCCTAACCCAGTATATAAGATTTGGGAGTGGGTATGATGCAGTTTGAAAATCTACTGGCTGGATGAAGAGGGATACCGAGGAGGAGAGGGGTGAAGCAGACGTCAAAATTAACCCTCCAATCTGACCGACTAGAATGATAGCTTTGCTATGAAAAGAAATAGCTAAGTCTGGAAATGTGGTCAGATATGGGTACTTTCAGGTTCCGGAGATATGTAGAAAATTGTACTTTCTTTCATTATCCACGTATACAGAGCTGGGTTCCTATGTGATGTTAAATGGGTGCCATTCATTTTATTTCCAGTGAAATGAACTCTATTTAGACTACCACTCACCAGCAATGCTGAGTGGGTTGACTCAGTGTTTATTTATGTATTGCTAACCTTAGATAAAAGGATTACTATATGGGAGGGCAAGAATAAAAATTGATCTCCTATACAGCTCAAGTCTTCTTAAGAATGGATTTCTACTTTCTTTCCATTCACTGACTTCAGTTTTACAACAAACCCTTGAATTATTTTCAGTAGTTAATGTTACACATTTCTTAACACCTGTGGAAATAGTCTAAATGCATTCTAGCAGAACTAAAGTATATGTGTGTCTGTGTGAGAAATCGCATCTTACGTTTATGATTATCTATCTATCTATCTATCTATCTATCTATCTATCTATCTAATCTATCTTTGTGGCTAACAACTAAAATCTCAGTAGGTGAGCATGGCAGAAAGTAAACTAGAGATCCAGTAGAAACTAGTTTAAAAATATGGTACATATAATATATGCAGGAACAGGTAAAAGGAGATTGGATATACACTGGAATGAGACAGTACAGTCCACTTGACACTCAGGAGCACTATAAGCAAAATGGGAATCCCAGTGGTATGATAAATAGCACAGCAATAAGGCCAGTCATAAAATCTCATTTGTAAATAAGTTGAATGGAAAAAAAGGATATCTGGTGACAGTAAAAAAAAGCATTTTTACAAAAAGAAACTGAGGTGATCATAAACATATATTCAGAAAAAAATTTTCTCACTTGTATCATGATTTTTTAAATTCTCATTGAAGGTCCCTATAAAATTAATGACTTTTAAAAAAATAAAATAAAATTAATGACTTTTAAAGTTATTCTATAGAAATCAAATATAAAACAGAAAACACAATATAAATAGAATTACTAATAAAAGCTGAAAATAAAAATTATATCTTGGTTAACAAGTTTTGATAAGCCTATTTGCCATAACTGAAATAAAGATAACACAGGCATAATAAACACATAAATTCTCATGGATGAAATTTTTTTAAAAAATTTCCTTTATACACTTGAAATGCAAAAACAATGTACACTACTTTATCTAAGTCAAAAAGCGGCAACAATGTCCACTGAAAAGTTAAATTACCCTAATCTAACTCAAACCAAAGTGATAACTTACTAATAAATATATAATAGAAAATATGTACCATATTTAATATACCATATAACATGTACTAAATACATGATATAATTTAATCTTAACACAGGACAGATACCTCTTTCCAAGTGCCCGTGGGCCATTAACAAAAATTTATTTAGTCAAAATAAAAGCTTATTAATTCACAAAGCAGAAATTCAGGCCATAACACCATACAATTAAAAATGAAAATATCAAACTTTGTACCCAAATATTCACACCTTGCCAAGTAAAGATCAATATAATTAAATGAACCCACAAGTTGCAGGATTTTAACCTGCAGGATTTTAACCCACAACCTGCAGGATTTGCAGGTTATTATAGGTCTATATAACTACTGAATGATGCAGAAATTGAGAAAAGATGCAGTATGCTACAATATCACCTGATTCTCTCATAAGCCCTAAAACTATGTCAAAAGGAGGACAAGTAAAAGCTAGCCTATAGCTCCTTGGACAGATATGCTTCTGTTATTTCACTAGAATTAGGCCATTTGTGGTTGCCATAGAGTGCAAGTGGGTTGTTTGAATATGGCTACATACAGACCAAAAATACTTTGTGTGTATTTCCTATAGACACTATGAAACTGAAAATAACCTCACCTCAAATTTGCTAAGTTTCCTTTCCTAACTGAGACAGGTTGCTGCTTGAGAACACAAAAAAAAACAAGCTTTTCAAGTAGGTTCAGGCAATGAGTCTCAGATCATGTTCAACATATTCCCTGGGCTGTGCTATATTATTTCAGCTCTTGACCACCCTCTCCTTTGTCTCTCTGGACCTCTGCTTCTAAAACCTTCCCATCTTCGTCCTCCCATCTAGGCTAGTCCCTACTTATTTCTCTCTCCTCTTCCTTTCACACAATTCCTTATTCAGGACATTCCTACTAGACAACAGAAGAGTAGATACTAATCTGTTAATTTTCCCACCTGACTTATCAACCTCATAATGTCATTTTTCCTTAGGAATTAGACTCTTGTGAACCCAAGTGAATTTCTAATTTACTATGCAAGTGTCAGCAAACTATACCATGGGGGCAAAATATAGCCCACCACAGATTTTGGGTAAAAAACCAGCAGACCCATGCATTTACATAATGTTCAAGGCTACTTTCAGCTACAAGAGCAGCAGTGAGTAGTTTAGACAGAAACCATATGGCCTTCAACACCTAAAGTATCTACTCCTGCCCTTTTCAGGAAGTTTGCTAAATCTTGACCTAACACGGTGACTGTCATGACTCATTAGGTAAGTACCTATGTATAATGGTTGAATTTCAGGCAGGAATTTTATCCTCTCCCTTGTCCTAAAGGTCTCTTCCCCTACTCCCAAACTCAACAGCTTCAGCTTAGACCTTGAGGGCAAAGGAGACCTAGTCTGATCCATATACCTTTACTGAGGTCAGGGAATAAGCCTACTCTACTTGTTGTAGGTCAACCTTAGCTCTGATTAAGAGCCTACCATCTGATATATGGCTGCTTTCAATATCCAAAATATAGTGTGTCCCATAGGAGAAATGGACCCTGGTCACTTTGATCTTTTTAGGGAACAGAGACTAGACTCCTCAGGTTTTCGTTAAGTTATCTGCTGAACCCTGTCCCATCTTTATTTCACCTGACTTTCCCTGTTCTAGTCTATACTTCTTTGCTAGCTCCACAAATCCAATCTGCATTTGCTTTTATTTATGTTGTTTGATTACTGAATGATACCAAAATCAGCTCTTCACGTTCCCCAGTTACCAAGTAGGGAAGATACACATTCTATGGATTGTCACATTGATGAAGTCTCTCTACCTAGTTTAGTCCTGGCTTAGTCTCACCTGGGGTTGACTATAGTGATAAGACCAATTACACAGATGACCCTTCCTATCTATGACTCTTCATAGATGAAGAAAAGCTTACCTTTGATTATTAAAAGCCAAATACCTGATTGATGGGAGCACAGGGTTTATCCATAAAAATAAAATAGATTAAAAAGATATAAAAATAGATACAAGAAAGAGAAGATGAAGATCAGTGTGCTTGAATCTTCCAAAGAGTAGATCAAGTACCACCTTAGACTAGGAGGAGAAAGAAAAAATGAGAAGGTATAAAGGAAGAGGCAGTTGGAAGAGTTCATGAAAAAAAAGAACAGATCAGGAGGGACCACATGAACAAGAGAGTTAGCACTGAAAGACCAGTCAGCACCAATGTGAAGACTCTACAGTGAGCTCCACTCATGGTCTATGATAAAGCCTTTTTGTTATCCAGTGACATCTGCCTGAACCCTGCCTGAGACTTCATTTTAACATTAAGCAAACTATCTAAAAATAATAATAATAAATAATAATATTAAAACTTGGGGATCCCTGGGTGGCTCAATAGTTTAGCACCAGCCTTCAGCCCAGGGTGTGATCCTAGAGACCTAGGATCGAATCCCGTGTCAGGCTTCCTGCATGGAGCCTGCTTCTCCCTCTGCCTGTGCCTCTGCCTCTCTCTCTCTGTGTCTCTCATGAATAAATAAATAAAATCTTAAAAAAAATATTAAGACTTTTAATTCTTAGCCTTCCCACAGTTTATAGCTTATTTAAAATAGCATTATTATTTGCTCACTACTGAAAAAAATATTAAAAGAGACATTAGATACCTCTCTGTCCCACTATTACAATGAGTTTATGAATTTTTCTTATGAGTTTATGATATCACAAGAAGGGAGCATCAGTAGCTTTAGAATGCTTTATATGGAGGGTCAATAATATGAGTTTTTTTTCTATATTCTGAGATATAAGGACGCAAAGATTTTTATGACTTACTTGGAATAGCTGGAATTTTTATGATGCCAAAGAAATACCTTGTTATTAATAGTAAATGAAGGCAAATTATCATAGCATTATATAAATGTAGCTATGAGTAGCAACTGATGTTACTATAAAACGGTAGTGGAGAGTATAGAAATTGCAATAAAAATTCCAAATGATAGGAGTTGAAAAGATGAAGGATTTAAGAAGGTATAAACAATCTGAGGAGACCGGAAGGACAGATACACAGCTGTTTAGGAAAGCAGCTTTCAAATTTATGGGATGGAAAGTTATATGCTATAGACATTAACTAGAATTCGCTACAACAGTAAGTTTGTAACATAAGGAATCAATTAGAAATAACAGCAGTAAGTTTCAGTTTACTTTGAAGAAACTTATCATTGACCTAGAAATTGCTTACCTCTATTTCAGTTCTCTAAGGTCTTATTCGAGTCCACACTTGCCTACTCTTCAGAGTGATCTTAGCATTCTAAGATTAACTCAGGACAAGAATCTCGCATGCTTTGGTAAATAAATAGGTTATACACCTTTGAAATTAAAAAAACAAAACAAAACAAAAAACCCCCAAAAAACCCAAACCAAACCAAAACCACTCACAGGCCTCTTCAGTGTACTCCTCTTAAAAATGTAAAAAGTTCCAAATTAAGGATGCCCAAATTGAGCCTTAGGAGGCAAAATCAAAATTCTTCTTAATCAAGTCTACAGTCCTTGTCCTAACAGCAGGCTAAGAATACTTTCTGCAGATACTGAAAAAGACTTTCTCAGAATAAGGAAACTACGAAGAAATGTATATGGGGCTTACTCAAAATGCTTGCATATCAGGCTATGAGGCCAGAACACTGTTAAGGCTACTTTCTAAAGATCTAGTTCCAAGCAAAACTCTTTCGTGCCAAAGCTCACCACTAACAAGTCTCATGACCTCGAGGTTGAGGACCTGAATGCATTTTACTCACTCCTACTACAATTAATGAGGCATCATGGGGAATCATAAAACAAAGTCTGTATGAATTTTTTCCTAAATAGTATTCTAATAAAGTAAAAATTAAGCCCAAAAGTTGATTTGGAAAACAGCAAGCATATTCTTTTTATTTATTAAGCTTCCTATAGGTTTTTTGCAACATATCAATAGGTTAGAAACTTTATATACTTGATGCAACATTTTGAAGTGAGAATAAAAAGTCCCAAAGGTCCACTGCAGATTTCTGGGTTGTCTGTAGAATATGATACAAGATTCTTTAACTCACCTCCAGATGCCTTTGACCTTTCTTTCAACTTTTCTGCAGCCATTTCACCATAGCTGGGAAGTTCTGACATCTTCACTCCAGATCGAGCTTCTGCTATTAGCTGACGAGCTCTCTCTCTCAGCTGCCGACGTCGCTCTTCATCTTGCTGCTAAGATATATTGAACAGTTGCCAACTCAGTAATTGACAGAAATGCAATTTCATTTTCAATCTGATCATCATGATAGTAACTGGTTTACAGCATGGTGCTTGGCCCACATTATAAATAGGATGCTCTATATCAGTTGGATGTCACACCATTTTTAAAAGACATCTTAGAATCAGATTTTTAAAAAATATTTACAAATTATTGTATTAAAATGTCTGCTAAAAATTCAAACTAGCCTTTAAAGAATGCTTGGCAATATATATTGCTGAGAAAATAGCAGGGACTGTTATTAATAAAATAATCAGGTTTATTGAAAAAAGTCATAATACTAAAAACAGAATTTCAAGTAATACCTTATGTTTTTTAAATAGAATTTAATTTGCTATTTTCTTTTTTTTTTAAAGATTTTATTTATTTATTCATGAGAGACATAGAGAGAGAGAGAGGCAGAGACATAGGCAGAAGGAGAAGCACACACCATGCAGGGAGCCCGACATGGGACTTGATCCCGGGACTCCAGGATCAGGCCCTGGGCCGAAGGCGGCGCCAAACCACTGAGCCACCCAGGCTGCCTGACTTGCTATTTTCTAATAAAGGTATAGAGCACTGGCCAATAGACATCTTCAGTAGCAGAAAATGCTGCCACACCATATTGATCAAATATAAGAAACAGTATTTTAAGGAGGCTAGAGTGGAACGGTGATAGTATGTTAGTTATACAAGTAATAATTGTTGGTAGTTTTTAAATCAGAATATTGGGTAACTGATGTACTATCCCCATTCCTACTCCTTCTCCCCTCGAATGCACATTAAGAAGGAAAAATAAGGGGCGCATGGGTGGCTCAGTTGGTTAAACCTCTGCTTTTGGCTCAGGTCATGATCTTAGGGTCCAGGGATCAAGGCCTGTGTTGGGCTCCCTGTTCAGCAGGGAGTCTGTTTCTCCCTTTCCCTCTGCCCCTCTCCCCAACTCGTGTGTGCGCTCTCTCAAATAACTAAATAAATAAAATCTTAAAAAAAAAAAAGAAAAATCTAATGTGTTTTTTAAATATTTAAAGTAACTAAAAACTACAGAGAATTAAATAACTAAAATTTCTGCTTATTAAAAAAAAGGATTAATATGAATTGTAATATCCAATGTGAAAGTGTTTTGTAAACTGGAAAATTTATAAAATATATATTAAATAATATATAAAATAGAGATGGTAGTCAGAAGTTAGGTGGGTCACTGTAGGGGAAACTAGGAGGTAGGAACAATACACAGACACAGAAGCAAGGAGGTACAATGGAGAAAAAGCACATAGCATAGGGCAAAAATAACAACAGAAAGACAAGGCAAGAAAAATAAAGCTGGGCAGATAAGACTGTAGAAGCCCTGTCCATCAGGGTAATTTATTGTAAAGAAAGCAAGGGTCAGTTAAAGGTTTGTTTTTTGTTTTTTAAAATATTTTATTTATTTATTCTTGAGAGAGAGAGAGAGGCGGAGACACAGGTAGAGGGAGAAGCAGGCTCCATGCAGGGAGCCTGACGTGCGATTCGATCCCTAGTCTCCAGGATCACGCCCTGGGCCGAAGGCGGCGCTAAACCGCTGAGCCACCTGGGCTGCCCTAAAGGTTTGGTTTTGAATGTGTGTGTCTTTGGTGGGAGGTTGGGGGAGAATGACCAACTAGAGGTGTTATTTGAGAAAGATGAATATGACAAATGTGTTTAAGATAGGTTGGCATAGGGGATCCCTGGGTCATACAATAATACCAGCTATAATAATTTTTAAGAGGTAAAATTACAAAAACATAATCTTGTCATTCATAAAAGAATGACTCTGGCATAGATTATCAACAGTTATTAAAGCTCTTTGATAAATGTCTGATGGGAAACCAGATATTCGTATTATGCTGTGGCAGACTGTATTTTCCAAAGATGGCCATGACAGTATTTTTCATTCCACATGTTCTCGGCAATGTGACCTTGCCACTCCCTCATCAAGTGGTAGAGTTTAATTCCTCTCCCCTTGAATCTCGGCCAGCTTTAGGCACTTGTATTATAATCAGTAGAATAAGTAAGTGTTGTGGGTGATTTCCAAGGCTAGGTAGGAAAAGCCATACCCCTTTTTGCCCAGTTCTCTTGAAATTCTAGCATTTTTTACTCTCTGGGAACCCAGCTGTCATGCCAGACAAGTTAAGCCTTGAGACTCCTTGGCCCACATACCAGACATGTGAAAGAAGAGGCATTCAGAAGACCACAGTCCTTAGCCATTTTAAGTCAACCCCAACTATTCAAGTCTCCTTAGACAAATGCGCAACAGAGACAAAGCATCCCCACTGTGCCTTAAGTTCTGACCCAAAGAATCGGTGAGCATAAAAACAATTTTTTTTTACACCACTAAGTTTGGGGTAGTTTTTACACAGCAATAGTAATTAGAACATATGCTTAAGTAACACAACAGAGATTATTTCCTAGTTGCAAGGAGAAGCCTCTTGTAAATGGAGAGATCAGAACTAAATCAGGGATTAGGGACCGCTAATCTAATAGTCTTGGCATCATTAATGCTGGGTCAACGGTATGTTAAATTTTTTGATGTGAAGGACATAAATTGCACACCACCAATAATATTCCAGCCCAAATGTTTAAAGTGAATTCACTAGGCCTTTCAATAAAACCTCAGTTTATCATATACACAGAGGATAGAGAAACATGATAAATGGCATGGCAAGGAAGCAACCAAATAAATTCAGGTATGATATTCAGGATAACTGACCTGGTCATTTTAACAAGAAAGTTATGAAAACAAACACACAACAAAAACCAACTAACCAATCACCATCACCACCAACAAAAGAAACCTAACCAGATATAGTGTATGGTCCTGGGTTAGACAGTGGTTTGAACAAACCATTTTTAAGGGACATTGCTGCATCAATCACAGAAATCTGAATATAACCATAGTACTAAATGAAAGGAAAATACAAGTTGACTGGAAAAAAAAGTTTATTCAGTAATAACCTCATTTTGGCAAAATAAATACACATATAGATATACATATATAGAGAAAAACTTGGAAGGGTATTCACAAAGTCGTTATGATGGAGACATCTGGGTGTGGAAATGTGATATTTTTGTTTTCTTACTGTGGTTTGTCTTCATTTTCTAATTTTCTATAAGTGTACTACTTTTATAATAAAAGTTATTTTAAAAATCTGAGGAGAAGGAAGAAAAGATGAGATGGTAGGTTTCCATCTCATGAGGGGTGGGTGGTAGTTGTGGTAAAAGCAAACGAAGGGGGACCCACATTCCAGGGAAATTCTCTCAATATTTAGAGACAAAAGCCTACTTGTAATTAGAGGAGTAGTATGCAGTAGGCAGGGTAAGACTGAAGATGGGAGCATAATATGCATAAATCTGCAGTTCTCTACTAATATTTCTGAACTTGGAAAATATACTAAGAATAAAAGGAGATACATGCTCAATTATGGTGATTCTGGTAAGGTTGCTGATATTTCTTAGCTTTTACATGCATGATCTCATTTAATTTTCACATCCCGATTTTTACCAATGAGAACATTTAGGTTTAGAGTTCTAAATTCACAACAACTAGAATGGATGTCAGAACCGGGATCCAGCCCAGGTCTGTTGGACTACAGAGCCCTTGCTCTAAACCGAGAAAATATGTGATCCCAAAAAGTATCAAATTACACGACCAACTAAGGAAAATTGAGCTTTTACTAAACTTTCATCTTTCAAACTTAAGAAAAGTTAAGAGCACTAATAAAAATCATTATTTGGTATGCCTCAGGCAACTAGGTTTAAGTGAATTTCACTGCGTGAATAATGACTTCTTGCAGAGCTGGAATTTGGTGATTCAGACTAAGATGAAGCGGTCTTGGGTCATCTTAATGGAGTTAAAATGAAATAAATGATTCTACCTTTCCAAATACGAAATGGGAACCTAATTTTTTTCTCATAAGCTACCACGTCCCCTTGGTCTCTCTCCTCCTCCAATAATACTCCCATCTGCAGATGTTTCTAAGAGCTTACCAAGAGTGCAATTTAACACAGGCAATCATTAATAAAACCAACTCTAAATACTAATTAGGGACACTTTATCAATTTCCATGTAAATTGTTTGTTTGTACCTATTTACCCGTTATTGTTCTCTATACAATAGAAAAAAATGCAAATGAACAAATCAGAATGCAGCCCTAATGGGACTTTCTGTTTATAACCATTAGCCCAGAGGTGTGCTGTAATTCAATTCTCAAGTAGCAAGATTTAGCCTCATTAACAGACTGCAAGGGCAGGTTACAACTCATAAAACCCTACAGTAAACAAAGTTTATGGACACAGCACAAAATCTTGAGCCTGATTGACAGAATTCTAGTTCCCTATCAGATTGCCTTGATTTACTTTTCTACTAATGTCCTAACACCACAGAGACAATTTTGCTTGGGCCTAGAGCTCTCCAGTGGGATGGCATATCTGCGTTGTTTGTTTTCTTACCCATTAACTTCCCTTAAGACAAAGAACCAACTGAAAAAATAGAAGCTAATTGTTAAGGTCAAAAGGAAAAGCTTGTAATTATAGCAATTGATTATGCAACAATTTTTATTTAATTGACAGTATTAATTTCCAGATTCATTATAAGTAAAACTATTTCATTTTAATTTTTATATGTAAGCTCCATTAAAAAGTTGATTTTTGCAGTAATATTTACAGAATAGTTAACAACAAAATCTATGGATCTTTTGCTCAGTAGAGACATAACTGTTTATGTCAAAGGAACAAAATAACCAGAGAGTATGGATGATGGTTATTTTTGTACAGCATTCAGTCCAAACTGCTCAGATATGTAGAGGAGTACTTCTGACAATAATGGTTTACTTAAACCTATCCAAGTAGAAATGTGTTATTGCTAATTTTTTTTTACCATTCTGCATTCAAAAAAGACAAAAATAAATTATTTAGCTGTAAATAAATCATCTGTTTACTATGTCTGCTGAAAAAGGAATCT